CCCGTTATCCTTGGCATCCCTTGGCTGTAGATGCATTACTCCAATTTCTGCCTCCATCTTCACGTGGCTGTTTTCTCTGTGTCTCTTTGTGCCCTCTCCTCTTCTTATAAGGACACAGTCACTGGATTTAGGGCCCACCCTAAACCCAGGATGATTTCATCTCAAGAGCCTTAATTAATTATATCTGAAAATACTCTTTCCAAATAAGGTCACATCTCGAGGTTCCACGTAAACGCGAATTTTGAGGGAACACTATTCAACCCTTTTCTTACACCTTATCTCCACCGCACTCTTGTGGAACAAGAAAGACAGGTACTGTTATTCTCTTTTTATAAATTAGGAAGCCAAGGTCTGGAGAGGAGAAATTAACTGGCCTATGGTCATGCAGCTGGTTGGTGAGAATAGATCCCAGATTTAAATTCCTGCCCCAGCACTCTTTCCCCCATTGAAGTTTTATTCCCTCTACAGCAATACTGTGTGTATGTGTGTGCAAGACAGACAGGCAGTGAGAGAAAGAACGAGCTTTCATCTTGTCTGTCCATCTCTCCTCCCTCTTCTGGAAAATCGGCTTTGGCCCTTTCCAGTCGCGTGGTGCCACGGAGACAACGATGCGTGTGTGTGTGTGAGTATGTGTGAGTGTGTATGTGTTTGTGTGTTCATGTGCATAGCTTGAGGAGTGTGTTTATACGTCCACGTCAGAAATGGGGAGCCTCTAGGGCTTTACCAAGGTCTACTATGATATGAAACAAAACTCAGACTCACAGCTCAGAAAAATTGCATGACCATTCACTTTTTCAAATCAAAGTGGGTAACATAAAGCATTTCAGGCACACATACACACACACACGCATACAATGCAGATTTCAGTTCCATTTCATGCACGACTAGACAAGGTAGAGAGTTGGAGAGAGAGAGAGAGATGGAAAGTGAACAGAGGAGCTAGAAGGATAGAGAAAAAGAACATGAACATTGGAAGTTGACTTGTTTCCGAATGCTTCACTCAAGCCTTAGAACGTGTTCTTTTTTCAGTTATGGGTGCACTCATATTTGCCTATCTTAGTGGTAGGAGGTGGGGTTCCTTTATTCATTAAATTTTTCATTAATCAACAAATATTTACGCAGGGTCTAAAGTGTATTGGACACTCCGTGCAGCTGGGGTAAGAAATAAAAAGCAGGGCTCTTGCTTCTGAGGCACACACAGAGCATATGTACACAGAGCGTACGGTCAGAGCCAGATGGTGCACAGTTACAAGGCAGGAGGATGCCTGCTATGAGAGGGATGTGTACTATAGAATCAGAGAGAACCAGGTCTAACCCAGCACGGGCCAGGGCACAGATACCTCCCTGGAAGACTGGATGCATTGGGCTAAGTCAACGGGGCCCACTATAGTAGATCTGGCAAGAATAGACCCAGACCTGAACCTAGGCAATGCCACAGAGTGGAAAGGAATGGCTAATGGGGCAGGGGTCCAGGAAGGATTTGGCTGAGGGAACTGACCTCATGTTACCCCCAGATTTCTAGCTCATGGAAATGGTGGAATGGGAATGCCATGAACTGAAATAGGGAAGAAAGGAAAAAACAGGTATATGGGCAAAAGGATTTTTTTCCAAATATAAGAATCCAGTCATATAACTATCTAACATAACATTTTCCAAAGATTCTCCATAGCTTTGAGGATAATATTCAAACTCTGTCATTTAGGTCATATGGCCCTCCAAATTCTTTCTTCTTCTCTAAGTTTATTTCTTGTCACTCACCCAAGTTCATCCTTATATCCAGCTATATAAAACTAGTGGTAATTCCCAGACACATTCCATTGGTCTTCTATGGTTTTATGAATGTGATTCTTTCTGTCAAGAAAGTTCTCTATCATGAACATGTGCTGTTTTTGTGTTCTCAGCATCCTCTCATTTGGGTTACTCCCCCTGTCTCATTCCATGTCATCCTGATGGAGCTGCCAATCACAGTATCCGGCCCTCTGGCCCCAGGGATGGGTAGGAGATCCAGGCCAGGTCAAGCATAATATCCCACCCCTCAGTGATTGGCCCAGGATTGGCACATGACCCAAGCTGGGCCAATCAGAACCCTTCTCTGGGATTTTATATATGGGTGCTGGGAGAGTTCCCTCTTTCTTCTGGGGCCCCAAAACAGAAGTGATATGAGCCTGGAACTTCCTGTGGCCATGCCCCTCCTGCCCCCTGAAACATAGAGGAAGCTTAGCTGATTAGGAGAGAATGAGTCCAACACAGAGGGAGAAACAACAGAGATGAGTACGAGAAGAGCAGCACATCTGAAAGCCTTGTGAGAGTCTGAGGCCAGCTTTACCTGGTTGTCCCAGTTACAGAATTCCCTGGTTTGCTTAAATTAGCCCTGTCACTTAAAATTGAAAGAGTCCTATAGCCAAAATCCCAATTTCTTCTACCCACTTCCTACACATCCCTCAAAACTCAGTCCCAACCCAATTCCTCCAGAAAGCCTTCTCTGACCAGCTGCTCCTCCCCTCCCAGTTTGATACACTTCCCTTGGGTTCCATAACATTCTGGGCATATTCGATTGCATCCCTTTGCAATCAGATCCCTAATGGTTGGTTTACATTTCTGTTTACCATCAAAGTGTAAGCTCCTTGACCCTAATTGTATTCGCTTTATCGCTCTATGTCTGGCACAGAAAGGTGTTTTAAAAAAAACTTTGATGATGGGCCGGCCCAGTGGCACAGCGGTTAAGTGTGCATGTTCTGCCTTGGTGGCCCAGGGTTTGCCGGTTTGGATCTAGGGTGTGGACATGGCACCGCTTGGTAAGCCATGCCATAGTAGGCGTCCCACATATAAAGTAGAGGAAGATGGCCAAGGATGTTAGCTCAGGGCCAGTCTTCCTCAGCAAAAAGAGGAGGATTGGCAGCAGCTGTTAGCTCAGGGCTGATCTTCCTCAGGAAAAAACTTTGACAAATGAATAACAAGTTTAGAGTTTGCCTGTGGCACATTCAGGTGCCCAGGAGGGTTTGTGGGTATATAAATCACGGGGGGACCTCTGCTCCAGTGGGGCAGGTGGAGGAGGCCAGTGGGCTGTGGGCAGTGGGCGGTGAGGAAAGGCGTGGTGCCCTCAGTCTCTTTCCAGTGGCTTATCCAAGAAGAGGAGAGTAGTAGGGTGGTGACCAGAGAAGCAAAGGAGGATTTATTTTGAGATCCCAAAGTCCGAAGTATGTTTATACGTTAAAGGAATGGAGCCAGTGGAGAGAGAGGGGTGAGGATTCAGGAGAACCAAGACATGGGACAGGGGAGGGGGTGGGCCTGGAGCATAGGCAGAAGGACAAGGAACAAGAATTCCCAGCAGGCACTCCAGTTTAGACAATGACAGAGACAGGGCAGGGAGTGGGGCACCCGAGCCAGAGTAACCTCATTCAACAGCCCCACAGACTAGTGAGGCTGGGCAAAAGAGAGCCTCGATCTCTTTCTTAAGGCTCCCAGAACATTCGGCTTTCTTTTTCTCAGTTATCCTCCACCTCCCAGCAAGTGGAAGGCCATGGCTGAGCGCAAGTGGCCCTATCAGGTCACTGGCCTCCAGCTGTGTCCAGATCTCAGGGTGCTGGCCAGAGTTCAGGGTGATCCTCCGCATTGTTCCCCTTGTTGTTGTTACCCGACCTAGGAGGTCAAGTTACCCCAGGATAGTGTGCACTGACTTTGTCCGGGGGCTATGTGATCCTGTCAAGGGAGGAGCATGGATGTAAATTATTGAGGAAACCTCAGGTTCTCAACAACTCCCTAGCGATTCAGATAGGCCAAGAAACCTGAGAGGACTCCGCCTCTGGGGTGCTGCCGCTGGGATTGAGCCAGTGGTCACTTTCCCAGGCCTGCCAGCCTCTTAGCCTGCCAGTGATTGAAACTTGAAGTCTGGTGGTTCACCAGGGCCCCAAGTTAAAAGCCCTTTGCAGCCAAGATTTCCCAAAAGATCTGTGGGGGAGAGAGAGCAACAGCTCACTGATAGAAACCCAACTCAGAAACCACTCTCTTTCGGGGCCCTCAGCGAGTGTGAAGGGGTGGAGAAAGCAATGCCTGTTTCCTCCCAAGAGAGGCATGATCTCCCCTCAAAAGAGGCTCAACCTCACTGTGGAAGGCCTGATCTCTGCCCCGGGGGAGCTGCTAGCCAGGCAGAGAACACACACACACACACACACACACACACACACACACACAAACACACACACCCGTGACTGTAATTTATAGCACCTGGAACAAGATCCTAAGCACTGTGCAGGAGGTCAGAACTAGCCAGACCACTGCAGGGGCACGGCCAGAGGAAGGATTAGCCTGAAGTCGCTCCCTTCCCCGAGGCTTCCCTGCCATCTAGTGCAGAGCTGTGCCCAGAAGGGGCTGACCTTGTTGGATGCTTGCTGGTTCTGGCTGCTGAGCACCTGACGCTGTGGTTCTGTACAGGGGATGGGGCTGCAAGGGACCTGCTTGCCTATTGCCTTCCGTCCCAGACTACTTTCTGGAAAAGAGGAAGGGAAGGCGGGGAGGAGTTCACTGTCCAGCCTCTCCAAGCGTCCTTTGGCTTTGGTCATCAAGAGGCAGCCCATGTGTTTGCTCAGAGATCCTGCTGCCCTGCTCTTTAACACCTCTTATCCCACTCGCTGTGTTTCTTGGGCTGTCCAAGATTGCTGAGCCCCTGCGTGTGTGCGTGTTCGTGGATGCCTCGTATGCATCTCTACACACCCAGCCATCCAAGTGCACATCTGTGTATCTCCATGTGTGTGTGACCATGTGTGATAATTTCTGTGTTTGCCTAAATTGTCCCTGTGCACACATGAGTATGTGCAGGTGTGCATGCTGGGGGTCCTCTTTCACAAACACATGAGCATGCATCAACCAAGTTTTAATGTCCAGCAACATCATGGCATCAATACAGCAGGCTGGACATTGAACTGAGTCTTGCCACTTCCCTGGCTTTGCCCAGAAGTGACATATGCACTCTAATGTCCTAAATTCCCCTCCTCCCTTTGCAGCCCGCCATGAGTCCCTGAAGAACTCTTGTATGCTACATCCAAGACTTTCTCAGAAGAGCCAACGATGTCTGATCTTTGGAGCTTCCATTGGGTCTCAGTTCATTTGTTCACTTACTCCTCAAAGAACCACTGAGCTGCTCCCAGGCCAAGCCCTGTGTTAAGAGCCACAGTTACAGAAATGAGTAAGACATGGTCCCTGTCTTCATGAAATGCATACTCTAATCAGGGAAAAGGCCTGGACACAAGTAATCACGTTGGAAGGCAGACTCTGCTAAGATCATGGGAGTACAGAGAAAGAAGACACTAACTCTGCCCTTAGGGAGCCCGGCATGGTTTCATTGAAGTTGTATTTAGCTAGGACATAAGCAGAATTTTGACAGGAGAACGTGCAGGATAGCATTCCAAGAAGAGCAATGGTGCAATCAGAGATCTAGAAATGAGAAAGCCCATGGAGTGTCTGCTTTCAAACTCTTTCTTAAGGCTGGTGTGTTGCATGACTCCACGAGAGTGCCCCTCACATAGAATGCAATACGAAGGGTGCCCCCTAAAGGTGTGCAGTGTTGTGGTCCTGCCCTTCTTCATCTGTGTTCTTTCAGTCTGTGCCCCCAGACTTACTCACCTTACACGAACCTAATTCCAAATGGGAGCAAATGAACTAAAGTGGGGTTCGAAGAACACGAGGTAGGAGGAGGCTAATGCGCATGTAGTAAGAGAGGCTCAGGAGAGTCTCATGGAAAACCAGCCTGATCTGTAAGGAAAAAGTCAGAATGGGTTGTTGAGAACGATTTAAAATTCTTTCTTTTAATTACTTGCTCAACCAGCATTTATCTGGTGCGCTCTGGGAAGAGAAGAGCAGAGCAGAGAAGAATCTCTCATTGTTCATGATGATTTAGGCTAGTGTTTCTTCAAGTGTGTTCCTAAGAACAATAAATAGTCCAGAGAGATTCTGAGATCAAATAAGAGTTACAGGGATCAAACACATTGAGAAAATATGTGTAAACAAAGCAAACAGGTTTCTCTGCTCCAATATTTATCAGCGCCTTTAAAATCTTAACATAGTTTGTGAGTCTCCATGAGTGGGAGATGGCAGCAATAGTTCCCAAAGTTATTTGAACTATAAACCCCGTACGTTCCCATGGAACTGGTAAGGTTGATTAAAACCTTCCTGGGGAAACCCAAGATTGGGGACAGGAGTTCTGAGGCATCACTGTGATAATGGCAAACAAAAGAAAAAGGATTCGTAAACGCATGGGCAGATGGTGTGGCAAGAAGACGCATCATCTCTCTCACTCCATCCAGGAAGACTTCCTGGAGGGTGCGTGGCCTCAGGAACCATCGAGGGAAGACAGGGCAGTCTGAAGGGATTGAAGCTTAATCTGTGTCACATGAAAGCAAACATGTACTTGGGGGAGAATAACCATGCAGTAAAATGTTGTGGACTTAAGTGTCTGTTGGAACATGCTTTGAGGGAAGGACAAGGAGGAAGGAGGAGGCCCCGGGCTTGCCTGCTCTCCAGCTGTGCCCAGCCTGATAAAGCAAGCTCCTTGCCTTCTGGGAGCTCCTAGCATGATGGAGGGATGAAGGAAATGATGGCTTCCAAAACACTGGACATGAGGCCACAAAGGTCAGTGGTAGCTGAGAGATGGGAAACAAACAAAGCAAGCCCCAGAACTGCCCCAGTTTACGGCCTTGAGAGAATTTCTAAGCCACAGTGCAGGGAAGGGAAACCAAGATGGAGCCCAGCAGATTTTGTAAGTGAAGAGGAGGAGCTGGGAGTCTGGGGAGACGCAGGAAGCTACAGGACCCATACGAGAGTATCCAAGAGAAGAGATTTGCACGGAAAGAGAACCCTGGAAATGTTCAAGTTTTTGGCAGAGCACTGATCAGCATATGTATGTGAAGAAACCACCCACAGCTGGGGAAAGGACCACCCAGAAGGATGAAGGGAAGAGTACTCAGAGCTCACACAGGGCTGGGAAAGCTTCCTATGCCCACCAGTCAGACTGGAAAAATTCATAATTTATGGGTAGAGTACTCAGAAGGATCTTGCTTCAGTCGTGAAAAATAATTAGCCTTAGACTGAATACTGCTTTCATGTCACCTAACGAATCTTAAAGACCTGAAAGGACAACACTACTGCAGCCTGGGACAAATTCAAGACTATTTATAGGAATACGAAAATATCTAGCACCCAACAAAGTAAAATTCACATCTGCCATCCAATAAAAAATTACTGGGCATGCAAAGAAACAGGAAAATACAACCCATAATGAGGAGAAAATATAATCATTGAAACTGACCCAGAACCTACAACTGTCCTAGTTTGCCTGGGACTATCCTAGTTTTAGCACTGAAAGTGGTACATCCCAGAAAACCCCTCAGTCCTGGGAAAACTAGTCACCCTGCCTACAACTAACATTATACTCAATGGTGGAAGACTGAGGGCCCTCTCCTAAGATCAGGTGCACATCAGAACATCCACTCTCACCACTTTTGTCAACCTTGTATGGGAGATTCCAGCCAATGCATAAGGCAAGGAAAAGAAATCCTTATTGGAAAGGAAGAAGTAAAACTGTCTTCATTCTCAGATGATATGATCATCTATGAAGAAAATCTGATTTGACTCTACAAAAAAGCCACTAGAACTAACAAGTGAGTTTAGTAAGATTGTAAGATACAGGTAAATATCTGCAAATCAATTGTATTTCTATATACTAGCAATGAACAATTGGAATTGAAATTAAAATAATAATATCCTTTTCAATAGGATCAAAAAGTATAAAGTAGGGATACACATGACCATCCATGTGAGAGACTTGTACATTGGAAGCTACAAAACATTGTCGACAGAAATTAAAGATCTAAATAAATGGAGAGACATACCACTTTTATCGGTTTGGAAGAGGCAATATTGTTAAGATGTTAATTGTCCCCAAATGGATTCAATACAATCTCGAAAAAATCCCAATAGTCTCTTGTAGAAATTGACATGCTGACTCTAAAATTCATATGGAAATACAACAGACCTAGAATAGCCAAAGCAGCTTTGAAAAGAACCAAGCTGAAGACTAACACTGCTTGATTTCAGGACTTATTATAAAGCTATAGTAAGTAACCAGATAGACCTACACAGAGATGCATGTAGTGGGTTGACTTGTGTCCACCTCGTCCCCCCAAATCATATGTCTACCCGGAGCCTGTGAATGTGACCTTATTTGGAAAAAGGGTCTATGCAGATGTAATTAAGTTAAGGATCTTAAGATGAAATCATCCTGGATTTAGGATAGGCCCTTAATCCAATGACAGGTACCCTTCTAAGAAGAGGGGAAGACGCTGAGAGATACCTGGGGAGAAGGCCAGGGAAAGACAGAGGCAGAGATTGGGTTACCCTGTCACAAACCAAGGAATGTCTGGAGCCACCAGAAGCTGGAAGAGACAAGGGAGGATTCTTGTGTAGAACCTCCTAAGGCAGTGCTGCCTGCCAACACCTTGATTTCAGACTTCAGGCCTCCAGAACTGTGAGAGAACCAATTTCTGTTGTTTTAAGCCACAGGTTGGTGACACTTTGTTAGGCAGTGCCAGGAAATGAATGCAATGCATAACTGATTTTCTACAGAGGTGCAAAAGCAATTCAGTGGAGCAAAAATAGTCTTTTCAACAAATAGTGCTGGAACAATCGGATATACACATGCAAGTAAATAAACTTGGACTCATACCTTTTAGCGTATATAAAAATTAACTCAAAATGGATCATACACCTAAATGTAAAATCAAATCTATAAAATACCTGGAAGAACTCATAAGAGAAAACCTTTGGAACCTTCTGTTAAGCAAAGATTTCTTATACATGACACCAAAACATGATCCATAAAATTAAAAATTGATAAATTAGACATCTTAAAATCAAAATCTTATGCTTTTCGTAAGACACTGTTAAGAGAATGAAATGACAAGTCACAGACTGCAATGCCTATATCTAATAAAAGATGTATGTTTAGATGATATTTTTTGTAACTCTCAAAACTCAGTAATAAAGAAACAATCCAATTTTAAAAATAGGCAAAGATTCAAATAGACACTCCACCAAAGAAGATATACAGATGGCAAATAAGTACATGAAAAGATGCTCAAAATCATTAGTTTGGGAAATGCAAATCAAAACCACAAGATATTGCTACAGACCTATTAGAATGTCTAAAGTCAAAGACCTCCATTACTAAATGCTGGCAAGAATGCAGAGCAACTGGAATTCCCAGGCACTCCTGGTGTGAATGAAAAATGGTCCAACCACTTTGAAAGACAGTGAGGTTGTTTCTTAAATAAACATGTACCTACTGTATGATCCAGCTATTCCACTCCTAGGCATTTACCTAAAAGAAATGAAAACTTACATCCATACAGACTTGTATACAAATGGTCATCAGCCGTTGAGTGGACAAATTATGGTATTTATACAATGGACTACTACTCAGCTACCAAAAGGAATGAACCAGTACTACGAGCAACATGGACGAATCTCAAAGTAATTATGCTGAGTGAAAGAATCTGGACCAAAAAAGTACATAATGTGCCATTCCATTTATGTAAGATTTTATAAAATGAAATAAATCTATAGTGACAAAAAGTAGATCAGTGGTTGCCTGAGAAGGGGGTATGGGGGTACAGAGGGGAGGGAGGAAATTTTGGGGAGGATGGAACGGATATGTTCACTATCTCGTGGTGATGGTTTCCTGGGTATATACGTATGTCAAAGCTTATCAAAGTGCACGCTGTAAATATGTGCAGCTTGTCGCATGTCAATGAAACCTCAATAAAGCTAGAAAACAAAAAAGGAGAAAAAGTGATGTCTCCAGCATTCCCAGCATTAGTGCTGCAGCCCGTGCCTAATGATGGAGGGCGGAGGGAAGCAGCGAGGTGCTGAGGGGTCCCACAGCCCTTATTCCCAGGCAGCATGCAAGCCCACCTCCATGCACGGGCCCTGAGGACTGGATGGAACAACACTGGTCCGCCTGTCCATCAGGGGACCGCCTCTCCGCCGCGTGCTTGCCTGCAGGCTGGCCAGAGGGGAAAGTTCAAGGAAATGAGGTCATTAGACTCCTTGGAGCAAGATCCCAAGGGAGTTAGTACAAATGTCAGAAAACATTTGGTCCAACAGATGCTGTAAAGCCCCTTAGAGTAATGTCCTTTCTTCGCTTCATTAGTCTTTGCTGTCTGTCTGCAGCTGGATCTTTCTGAAAACCGGGGGACTCTGCTCAGTTGGTGCCCTGCAGTCACAGACGGGGACTGTGAGGATGGGAGAGTCCAGGACCTGGGGACTCACTGTGGTAGGACCCCAGTATAACTGGGGACTATCCTTCCCAGATTTTCAAGGGTGTGATTTTTTTCCTTTTAATCCAATTGTTTATTAAATGTAATTATGTTTTATAGTTTCATAAGGCCTTTTTTATGAACAGATTTTAAAAAATTGCAATAAGGGTCTACTCGACTGGAAGATGAGACAATTTTCAACCACATTCCTGGAAACCCCTGCCCAAGGACTTGGAGGTAATTTATTCGGTTAAGAAATTCAGAAAGCTCTCCTGCACTCTTTCCATCTGGTTTGTGCCAATACTGGTGTTCAGCTCACCCTTTCGCTAGGTAAAAGACTCAGACATTCCAGCCTGCTGTATATAAATGATCACACATTTAAAATGACTGAGCCTACGTGACTGGGAGGCTGAGGCAGTGCTGCTGGGACCCAGATACTCAGATCAACAAGCCTCAAGGAATTCCCCCCTCTTGTGGGGCAGATTCTCAAAGTCCCAGAATAGACTCCCCTCCCCCCACACCTCTACCATGTCCTCCTGTCGTCTCTGTCCCCTTTCTCTGAAAAGTAGATCTACTAATCTACCCCCTTCCCGCCCTGCTCAACATGAAACATTAACAATAATAATAATTGCCACTAGGACATTTAGATGGACGGTCACTGATATGAACTCTTTATATACATTACCCAGCAAATCTTTACAGCGAGCCTACGAGATGGGTAGTATGATTATTCCTATTTTACAAATGAGGAAACTGAGGCAAAAAGAGGTGATGTGAGGGTAGAGTTTCCAGGGTATTTTTTGGCGGGCGGGGAGGGGTCAGAATTTCAAAAACATTTTTTAATTGTGGTAAATTACACATAACATAAAACTGACCACCTTAGCCATTTTCAAGCGTACAGTTCAAGAGTGTTAAGCACATTCCCATTGTTGTGCATCCCATCTCCGAAACGTTTTTCATCTTGCAAAACTGAAATTCTGTGCCCGTTAAACGAGAACTCCCCATTTCCCCCTCTGCCCAGCCCCTGGAACCCACCATGCCACTTTCTGTCTCCATGACTTTGACAACTCTGGGTACTTCCCATATGTGGAATGATACAGTACTTGTCCTTTTGTGTCTGGCTTATTTCTCTTAGCATGATGTCCTCAAGGTTCATCCATGTTGTCGCATGTGTCAGAATTTCCCTGAGTTTCAGCTTTTTGAGATGGGAAGAATTCTGGAGATGAATGGTAGTGATTTGCACAACATGTGAATGTACTTTAATGCCACAGAACTGTACACTTAAACATGGTTAAAATGGTGAATTTTACGTTATGTCTATTTTATCACAATTAAAACAACAACAACAAAAACAGGTGAGGAGATTCGCCCAGGGGCTTAAAGTAAGTGGCAGATGCTAACCCAGGTGGGTGGGCTCCTGTGTCTGGGCTCTTCAGCCGTGTGCTATACTGCCACTCGGAACAGAAGTCACACAGATGGAGCCTGAAGCCCCGAGTCCTTCTAGAACCTCACAGAGATGTATGCACGACTGGAGATTCAGGTTTGGGGTTTATCACCAGCAGGAGTGGGCAGTCACACAGGGCTTCCAGTGGAGAGAGCTTCAGATCCAACAGGATGCTGGGGCGCGTGGGTCAGACAGAAGACAGAAAATGAAAGCACCTGTGTATGGGGAGGGGTGAGAGCCTGAAGGCTGGGACTGAGTGGCCTGAGACCGGGACGAGCTGGGGAGGGAGGGTGTCAGAAGGTTCTATGAGGGTGAGTGTGCCAAGAAGCCACATTTAATGAGGGGCCTGGCTGGGGCCAACAGGGGGAGAGGCACCCACTTCCTTTCCCTCTGTGGTGGCGCCCAGAGGAGCAAAGGAGCAGGGGAAGAGAGCTGTCTCTCCCCAGGTGGCATCTGACCCTCTTTCTGTGGGCACGGAATAGGGGAAGAGGGGGGCAGGGACAGAAAAGGGAGAGGGACAAGAAGCTGAGCGGGCACAACGTCAACTCACCACCGACCCCCATCCCTTTTCATGTGTCTTAGACATGACTGTGCCCTGGCTTGGGGGATAATTTTCTTCCCCAAATCACATTTCTTCCCCCGTTGAGATAAGGAGCAGACTACCGCTAAAATAAATGTCTGTGTTTTTCATAAACCATGGTAGGTGGCTTTCAAGAATCCAGATAATTAAAAAAAGACATATAGATAATAAAAATCAGGATAATCAGAGAAAACATATATCTGAATGTAAGGCCAACAGGAATTACATAACTTTTGTTTTCTCTGATCTGTCCCTGGCCTGGCATACCTATTGCTGAGGCGGTAGTGCTCTCGCCTCATTTTATGAGCCCCAGTGGGGAAGCCAGGGGAGCAAACCAAGGAACATGCTGGAGCCTTGCTGGTTTTCTATGCAGGCTTGGGTGGGGGTTGGGAGGGGCAATCAGAGCTCCCTACAGAGGGAAACCTAAGCCAAGAGCCAACAAGGAGGGTGCTACCTGTGCACGCAGGGTTAGGTGAGGCCACCGCATCCCAGCCTCTCCCAGGCCTCATTAGGATGCTAGGGCTGGCAAGGGCCTCAAACTGGGCTGTGGCTCCTCCTCTGGAACAAGATGACCCTGATATGTTGGCCCAGCAACTGGATTACCTCCCAGGGAATTCTTGGAACGACCTGAGGTGACGAGGTGTGTGGGCCCCACCTTGACTCCTGTGCAGCCAGTCTTAATGTCAAGGGGGAGCCCCTTCCAGCATCACCCAGTTAAACTTCCTGGCAGAGGAGAGGGCGGAGCAGGAAATGCATGTTGTGGGGGTTAGCTCAGTGTCTGTGCAAGTCTCCCTCAGCCATTTCTAAACCGCTTGGGGCGGCTTCCCCAGCAGTGGCAGAGCTGGTTCAAGCACAGAGCTTTATTACAGCTTTGAGCAACCTCCTACTCCCTGGGTGGACAAGCAGAGGTGCTCCCCGGGACAACCTAACCAAGAAATCAAAGAGGAAACAGGAAAAAGAAGGCTGTGCTCCCACCCTCCCCGGGGAGGCGGCGGGGTGCGGTGCAGGGTCCTGGAGAGCCCAGGCTCCTGCTCAGAAATCTTTATGCCTCCCTCCCTTTCACACACACCTATTTATCACCTTGCTCTTCCACGCCCTTTGCTGCTCCCAATGCCAACAGCCTCCCTTGTTTAGATCCTGCACGAGGCACTGATTTTGCAATGTCTGGTGCTGTGATGACAGTATGTGTGTGTAAATCTTGCACCGTGCTTGCTGGGGCAAGTTGAGGCCCATATTCCTGATAACTCTTGGCCTTCAGCCTGGCGTTGGCGTCATCAGTTCTGCTGAGTGGCAAAGAGCACCGAGCCAGCCAGGCAGCCAGTTCATTGAAGGCTCAGGTCACATAAGGCTTTTTGACAAGCTCCTAATGCTCCAGCGCTTTGGGTGGGTGGGCCTGCACTCCATAAGCAGATAGGAGAATAATAATTCCAACAAAAGAAGATCTAGCTCAGGTTCATTGTCCTTCTGCTGGGTCTCGGACGCTGACATGCATTATCTAAAATGCTCTTCACGTCTTCAGAAGTCAGTCCTAGAAGTTAGGTGCTATTTTTGTGGCGTTGTGAAGGATAGGAGAAGTAAACTGCAGTCAGCAGAAGGCCAGATCTCAACCTGGACTCCGTTTGTCCTGGACTTTTAAGTTGAGGAGGAAAATATGTTAGAAGCAGTGCGAAAATGAGACCGTGAGAAGACCAGCTGGGAAGCTGGTCAGAGTTGCTTGCCCCCAGGCAGTGGACGACCAACCACACCTAGGGGTTTTCTGCAGGGGCACCTGTGCCCTAGGACTGGTAGATAAGAGTGAGGGCTGAGGGCCTGAGGGGGCCGGGGTGGGGGGCTGGGCAAGCCCAAGTCCCCAGGTGCCGCCCGGACTGACTACAGCTGTCCTCCCAGGAGGCTGCCTCGGGGAGCCTGGCCCGCCACACCCCTGCAGAGCAAAAGAGGCCCAGGAACCAATGGCTATGCTTCCCCTTCTGGTGCTGCCACCTCTTTTGGGTGACACAGGAAGAATGGAAGGTCACTTCTGGAGCATGGACACACTTGGGCCAGGTTGAAAGCTGCAATTCTGCCCTCACTGTTCACTGCTGCTTCTGGACCTTTCTTTAGGTATCTTCACTCTAATATCCCCCGCCACCCCTCCTCCCATTACTTCCCTTCCTTGCAAGGCCCTTCACTGCACTGTGCATGATGTTTCCACTGGGGGATGGGGGCACCTCTAACTCGCTTCTATATTCTAGTTTTCTTTTTCATTCAATCAGGCTCAGTAAACGCAGTTTTAATGCTTGTACCAACAGCCCCTAATGAAGGCAGCCGCCAATAATCACATAAAAGAAATAATTTATTGGAGAGCTACTTTCGACCCCAGGCACCAGTCCTCGTTTAGGGACTGGAGGCAGAATTCAGCTGGTTTGAGATTCATCCAAACAGCAGCTTGGCAAAGCCGTGAAGATGAGAGCCCACTCGCCACACCCGCTGCGTAGCTGGTGCCTGTCTGCCTGTGACCCTGCTCACCTCACTGTTCCCCGCACTCTCCCCTCCCCCACCCTCCAGGCACCTCCTCCACACCCACGTCTGTGGCTTCCACATCATTTACCTGCTGATGACCCCAGATCTCTACACATCTCTTTCCCAGATCATCTGTCCTGGGAACCTCCAGTGGGAGGGCCAGGCGCACTTCAAAAGCTCTGGGTCTGGAACAGGTCCGACCTCTTCTCCCCACGACCCCGGCTCCTCCTTCCTCCTTATCTCCGTGGATGGTGCCGTCACTCACCAGGTTGCATATCCAGGAGCCTGGGTGTCTGCCTCAACCTCTCCCCCCTGTTTATTGCCTACCTTCGAGTCACCACGTTCCAGTCATTCTACCTTCTAAACGTGACTGGATGGCGTCCTCATCTCCCTATGCGCCGCCCCCCTCACCCCATTATTGCCTTGGTTTAGCGACTTCACAGTAACCTCTTTTCTGGATTCCCGGCCTCCAGGCATAAGTCTGTCTTTCTCCCTGACTCTGATGTGATCCTTGCAAATGTCCATCTGATTAAGCCCCTTCCTCCTCCTGAGAACCCTCCAATGGCTCCCCGTCACTGTCAGGATGAAGCAAGACCTCCTCAGTGAAGTCAAGCACATTCGAGGCCTGGTTCAGCCTCTTGCTCTAGTAGCATCTTCATACACATCCAGGGCCGCCCCCTGTTCTCTATGCCTGTTACACTGTCTCCCACCCCAGCCCTCTGGCTAACTCCTACTTGACCTTGAAAACCCAACTCAAGGATCACCTCCTGAGGAGCCTTCCCTGATCCCCAAGGTGGGAGGTAGGTGATGCTCTTACATGCTCCTTGAGCACGTGTACCTATCTCTGTCAAACCCCTTAACACACTACATGGCCATGATGGATTTTTTTTTTTCAGCTCAAGCAGACTCTGAGTCTTAAAGAGCAGGACTATGTCTTGGGCATCATGGGATCCCCAGCACCTAGAACATAGCCCGCCACATCGTAAACTGGTGGCTTTGGTTGGTCACTTAGATTGTATCATGCAGAAGCAGCCCTTGGCCTTAAGTGAGGTGAGGAGAGGTGTTCACATACTCACCTCATTACTAACATGGCACCCTGCGGTAGTACTAGCATGGGCTTTGAGATCAGCCAAACTTGAGTCCAAATCTTGGCTTCACCACTCACCAGCTCTGTGGCCCTGGGCAAGTGTCTTAACCTCTCTGAGCTTCAGTTGCCAAACTGTAACAGCAAGATCTTAAGATAACACAAGGGAAGTCATCTTAGGGCAAGGAAGCAATGTTGTAACTATGCCCTGACTCACTAGTCTCTGTGAAGATATTCTAGCCTGCACATACCCGGGATAATTAAGCGCCTCTTGCTTTTACAAAATACACGATCTGCTAGTTCTATGACTCTTGCTAACGTACATCTCCCAGCTCTGATAAGACAACTTTGTTCTCTGAGTTCCCCAGGAACAATGACAACCTCCAGAAAGAAAAGTTCTGCCTTGGTATCCATCAGGAATGACCAGGAGAAAGAGATAATGTGGATGATATGCCTTGAAGTTGGTCACACGCGATCCCTAACCCCCCTCCTTCCCTATCCATTTCCCCTAGAGAACTGCCTCAGGATTCTGTATGATTTAAGATGGTTCTTCGGGACGCTAGTCTGCCATCTTCCGGTTATGGAGCTAATCGCACAAACTTTCCTTTCTCAACCACTGGCTTGTTTGCAACTGACTGGCACTGGATTGCAGTGAGCGGAATGAGCCCCTTTTTGCTGGGTTACATAATGTGTAAAACGAGACTCCAATGGTGGGGTGGGTGGGGGTGGGGTTTGGAATATATGTTAATGCTGCTCCAGCAGCTTTAGGTAAAATCTTGTGCTGAGTATGCTCCAGAATTTTTGACAAAACAAAACCGAAACCCACACACACAAAACCCCCCAAGACTTCATTGTTTGGGGATGCACTAAATCAGACTGAGTCACGTCTGTGCCCGCTGTTCTAAAAGAGTTCAACTTGCCCTCAAGGCAATAAAGCTGTGTGATAACTTTATTAGGTAGTAAAATCCTCGCGGAGATTTAAGAGTCAGGCTCAATTTTGTCCCATGTTGAGATCTGTTGATTCTCGATGGACAAATGCTTGGTGTCTTATGTGCCAAATGATGACACACTTGGCCCATTTCTAGTTCAACAGGGAAAAGACCAAAAATTACACAGTTCAGCAGACCTGGTACATTTGACACAGTTTAAACTTACATAAAAATTTCTTCGAAAACAAAATGGGGATAATGATAGTTCCTCACAGATTGTGGGAGGGTTGAAAGAGAAATGTGCAAAGTGGGCACAGAAAGGACATTAGTGGTGAGACTCTTTGCTCCCCAGTGTTGGGAACGTTGCTGGTGCAGGAGGTGGCCTGCGTCTCCAGCACAGGAGATAAAATGAGCCCTCCCATGTATACTCCTCAGAACTCATAGCCTAAGAGGACGTCTGCACGCATGTGTCCTGCGTATGTGCTCTGCTGGTCCGTTTGGTGGACAGGGAGCCCTGTCCATAAGGATCATGGCCGTAAAGCTGAAGCAGAGCTCAGAGGCCCTCTGGACCCTCTCACGTCACAGGGAGGGGAAACTGAGGCCCAAAGAGGAGAAGGGATGGTCCAAGGCCATGCGACTCATAACTGTGTGGGCAAGTAGGGACCAGAAGGCAGGCTTCCTGACTGCCCATCAGTGGTCCTTCCTACATCTTCAACCCCTGTCTTCTTTGTCCGTGTCCCCTCCCTGTGTCTCAAGGGTGGCTCTTCAGGGCAGCTCCCTCAGTGGCAGGTGGCCTAAAGGGAAGAGGTGTATGGGGTCAGAGCTCAGCCCTGGAAGCACCCCACTAGAGACCCTGAGGGTGCAGTGGCAGAGGCATGTCTGCAAAGGCTGCTGGGGGAAATTTTCTTGGTACTTCAAGAGAAAAACGTTTCACAGCCAGGGACCGGATTCTTCACAAAGTCCAGTCATGGTGGGTGGGAGGAAAACTGCGGGCGAAGGGATTGCAGGACTCAGAGCAAACCACCCCCAGGCTTGGGCAGCCAGCCCCGAGGCACCTTCAGGAACATATCCATCCCTGAAAAGCAGCAGTTTGCTGTCAACATTTCTGTATTCAGACACCGTGCAGTGTCTGAGCTTCCCGAGGGTTCTGAGATCTCGAGTCCAGTCTGCTACAGTCCATTCTCCCCACGCCCACACCCCCAGAAAGAGTGCGCTGGCCCGTGCCGGTCAGGGGCTGGGAGTCCCTGTCACCCTCCTCCAGTGCCGGGAGGGAAGGGCATCCTCATCTGGTGACAGGTAGGGTGGCAGAGAGAGGGCAAGGCTGAGCAGGGTGCAGGCTCTCGTGGTTCTGGTCCCAGGACCACCTGGGGGACTTCCCCAAATCATAGCAGCCTGGCCTCTCCCCTGATTCAGGAGGTCCAAGCTGTGGCCCTGGCATTTTTGTTTTTAAAAAACAAGCCCCAGAGGGCTTCTGATCAACCCCCAAGTCGAGAAGGGCAGGGTACTGAGATCAGATATGAGGCGTCACATATAACTTCCTGCTAATCACTGTTCAGGTGCCAACATTTGTGACTCTTTTATCTGTTTACATTTATAAGTTAGAGCAGATTTGAGGCCAGGCCTCCAACTCTCCTCTCCCTCGTATCCTCAGAGAGAGAAGCCTGGCGTGGCGGCTCTGGCAGGACCACGCAAACCTGCGGCCCTCCTGGCCCAGCTGCAGCCTTCCCCGAGAGGCTGTGCCTGCCCAGTCAGGATGGTTTCAAAAGTGGTCTAGCGCTTGCCTGGCCTCCCAAAAGCTGGGGCTCAGTTCTAATCGGGGGTGCCCGATGGAAGCATGTCCGGAAAGCGGACATTGTCCACATTGTGTTTCTCAGCAGAGAAAGGCTGGCAGTCACGGCTGTAGAGCAGCTGTTCTCGAATTCAGCCTTCATGGGAATCTCCTGGGGACCGTGTTAAAGAGCAGGTTCTGATTCAGCAGGTCTGGGGTGTGGCCTGAGAGTCTGCATCTCTAACAAGCTCCCAGGGGATGCTGTCGCCACCATCCAAGGACCACACTCAAGGGTCTACACCACTTATGAACAACACCGCTTTAGCTATGAACAGGTTGGGGTGCTTGCCAAGGAGAGGCTCCACAGCCAGGTAACCCACTGTCCCAGTTTGCCTGGGACTGAGGGGTTCCCTGGGGATGCGAGACTCTCAGTGCTAAGACCTGGGACGGTCCCATGCAAACTAGGATGCTTGGTCACCCCACCCACAGCCTATGATACAACTAGTTTAGATGAAGTTTTGAAATAGACATATCTGGGACAGGCCCGGGAATGCTTACAAAGTAACAAACAAGATGTTATTCATTGGCTTTAGTATAGAAAAAGCATCTTTAAACCACCCAGGGAAGGGAGATGAAACTCAGGGTCACCATGAAGTGGGGCTAATAAGGAAAGGTTGAGATTGCAGTCTGGGTGGGAAGCAAAAGGGATGACAGAATGAGCCGAGGACGGGAGGAGGGGAGGGGCTCCCATTTCTGCACAAGCTGGCTCTGGTTGGCGTGGATTTTGCATGACACAATTTCACCTCAGTTGTGTTCAGAATGTGCTGTTGCATGTGTATTAAATGTCCATATCTAATTCTTATAGGTCACTTTCTCTCCCTTCATGCCTTTGGCGGTTGACCTGGCCCTGCACATAAATTACCCTGGCCTTCCTGCCCAGGCGGCTTCTAGAGAATGTCGCACCGTGCAGTGGTCTGCCGGCTGCAGCCCTGGTCTGGATTTGGTCCCGTCTCCACCCTGCCACATGCCCTGTGATTTGGGTAGGAAGCGGGTCAAGGTCCACCTGTCCTTCCTTGTCGTCTTTCCTTCTCAGGGATGACTGAGGTATGAGGGTCCCAAAAGCCACTGGAGACACAGGACGTCGCCAATATTTGACAGTCTGGGAAAGCCTCGAGGCTGCTGCGGGAAGGCCTGTCCCTACAAAGACTGCACACAGATGTTCTGGGAACGCAGCCATGCTCTGGCCTATGGGTTTTGATTCCTAGAACTCAGGAGTATGTGGGTTTGGAACACAGTACCCTCTGAGCTGGGATACAGGAAAGCTTCTTAATGACAAACTATATTAAAATAAGTGCAGCGTTATTTCTTGAGCAGCGGTTAGGATAGGAACTTTGCAGTCAGGTAGAACTGAAGGCAAGGCCAGCTCTGGCACTTTCTAGTGGTCTGACCCTGGCAAATTACTTAACCTCTGGAGCCTTGGTTTCCTCACCTGTAAACAGAGTATAATAATACCTGGTCTTCAGGGTTGCGGTACCTCAGCTGGCACACAGTCAGTGCCCCCAGAGAGTGGCTACATTATGCTCACTGTGTCACTGTCACAGTCTCACGGACTGCAGGCGCCCGGCAGGACCCCTGCTGGCCTTCCTGTAAGGAACCACTTGTCATCAGCCCCTTGTTAATCATTGAAAGCGCCAAGATGCTGCCAAATCACTTGAAAAGATGTGTTAGAAATCCACACTTGGTAAAGGAGAACAAAATTCTCAGCTCCCAGAGCTTAAAGACAGTAAGGCTGACTCTTCTTTTTTTTCTTTTTAAACAAATGTTTTATTTTGTATGAGTTTTCAATTTACAGAAAAGCTATGAAGCTAGCACAGAGTCCCCATACACCTCACACCAGTTTCCCCTGTTGTTAACATCTTACATCAGCATGCTACATTTGTCACAACTAATGGATCAGTGTTGTTACTTTATTAACTAAAGTCCATACTTGATTCAGTTTTTACCTAATGTCCTTTTTCTGTTCCAGGATAGCATCCAGGGTGTCACATTACACTTAGTTATCGTCATGGTCCCTTGGGGTCTTCAAGACTGGCAGTTTCTTAGATTTGCCTTGATTTTGATGCCCTTGATAGCTTTGAGTACTGCTGACCGTCCTTTTACACATGAGGAAGCACAGGCCTGGGAGACGGCAGGGCTGCTTAAGAGAATTCTAGAACCCTCTTCTCCATAATCTTCTCGCTCTGGTGGTGTGTGCAGCAGACCCTTCCCTCACCGTTAGCATGGAGATGAAATTCTGTCAGGTACCAAAACAGCCCAGGGTCTGCCATGACGTGTGACATTGGGGAGTCACTGGGTCTTGCCTGACACCCTGGACTCCCGGGCCTCCCAGGCCCCCTGATGCTCTTCTCTGTGCCACCCTTCCTTGCCTAGATACCTATTCCTGTCAGCCCCTTGCCCAGGCCAGGGCCTGCCAGGCACACGGCCAGGCTCTCATATCACAGACGGCTGGGGGATGGGGCTCAGAGAGGAAATAGCAGAGTGGTGGGCTGCCTTCAGCCTGGGTCCCTGGGCAAACAGGCAGCACCAAACAGTCTCATTCCTGCCCCAGCCCTGTGTGCCCAGGGGAGGCTGGGGGTGGGGTGAAGGCCTTCTCATCTCTCACAGGGAGTCCCGCCCTGGCTCCTCGCTGGGGCAGGGCTTGCTGTGGTCCAGCTGTTCGGTTTTTGTCTGGCTTCCCTTTTTCTGTGGGGAGGCTGCAGGTTTTGCATTTGTAAAAACGACCCTCGTCCCCACCTGCACCCCTCCCTCTGGGTGTGCAAGCACACATGCACACGCATGCCTACCTGTGGTGTTCGGCCATCCAGTGTGACGAGCACACCCACTGAGCCAGGCTCGCCCTGACTCCTGACGTGTCCCCTCGGCAGGCCCCAGTTCTGGCCAGAGTGCTTGCAGGAGTCATACGGTTTCTGCGTGGTCTGTGGGTGTCGGGGGGCTTTCTCAGGGATTAGTGAGCCAGACTTCCAAGAATCTGTAGGGTGGGCGTGCTTTCTCTTTTCCCGGTGAGAACCGGTATGGTGGCTGGAGATGTTAGGCTTAACCATTCTGAGCCTCGGTTTTCTTTCCCAGGAAATGGGAATAAACCAACGCTCCGATTACAGGTATGCAGTGAAGAGTGAAAAACAGTGAGTAGCACAGTGTCTGGCGTGGACGAGAGGCTTTTACCATTCCCGGCTCTGTGGGCCACATCATCATGCCGGGTGGCACTGTGGCCTTGGCTCCCCAAGATGCTCCAGGACAACCCTCCACTGCTGCCAGGGCGGAGGGCAGTGTGAGGACAGCAGCGTGATGACACGACAGCCTGGCAGGAGCCTGAAGAGCTGTGTGTTCAACAGTCACCCAGACCTCAGATTAGATCTTCTCTCTGTGCACCATGAAACTGCTCCAGAAAAACAAAAGGGCAAACAGTTATCTTTCAATTTAAGCCATGTTTTAGGAGCATTCTGGAAGACGGGTATTAAAATAATCAGTATCAAATACTTTTATCAAGTAATGAGTGGTTTGTATCAGCAATAATTCCCTTCCCCAAATTACTCTGTGTGGTGAATTCTGATTTCATGTGTTGGGTTCTTTAAGAGCAGGGATTTAACTAAGAACATTGTGCTTTGGGTTCAAATTACGTATTTGGGAGAAAGATACATACGTCATTTCTCATGATATACAACAAACGAGGAACTTCGGAAGAATATACAGAAAGTCTGAAGTTCACCAGAGGCCATGTGGCAGATCTCCCCAGAGGAGTTTCCAGATGTTTCCAGAAAAAGAAGAGAGGAAGAGTGAGGCCTCTGCATCATGTCTGGGATCTGACTAAGGCCAGTTCTGGAACTTGCGGCCTGTGAGGGAGGAAATTAGGTCTGAGGGCTGGGGACCAGGACTTTTCCTCTCCTCAGCTCCCCACGGCTGCCTCTCTCTGCAGTGAACCAGTAGTGAGAAGGGGAAGAGAAAGAAAAAGTGGGGGGTGGTAAGAGCAGCAAGAGAAGGGGGGCAGGCACTGGGGAGTTGTTTGCACCTGCTCATCGATGGGGAAGTGGATTTAAAACCACCCCAAAACAGCTGTGCTTCCCCCTTGCTCCTCTGTCTTGTCATGAGAGCTGTGCACCTGAATGCCTTTGAATGCCCTTGAAGGCAGGTTTGAGAACCCGCCCAGGGCAGGATGCCATGTGGGGGTCGGCCAAGCAGAAGCCAGGGGAAGGAGCCCAGCTGGGGAAGTGTGTGTCCTCGGAAATGCCGGCCAGGGTGGCCACGTGGGGAGCTGTGTGAACGCCCCTCCTGGAGCCTCAGCAGGCAGCAGAAAGCCTACAGTGCTGTGTTTTTCTCTGTGGTTCCACCCAGTGAGAGAATTATACTAAAAACCATAATAGCTATCACGTCTGGGGCACCTACGGTGGGTCAGACACCACATACATTATTTCACTCAACACTCAGTGAAACCCTGTGAGGCAGGCATTAGTTCCCCATTCTCCAGGAGACGTGCCTGCGACTCAGGGGCCCACTGCTCGGGGTCTCATCCAGCTTGTGGGTGTAGGGCCGAGTGGTGGCCTCAGGCCAGGTCAGTGTGACTCAGGAGCAGGAGCTCAGAAGCCCCATCGGGGATCTCATCATGTTACAATATTGCAATCGGCCAGCTCTCTGGGGTCCAGCAAGGACAGTAAGGCCTGGTCAGCAGGCAGACACCAGGCTTCATGGCACAGCTGTTAAAACAGAACCTAAACTAGACATTGGCTTGCTGCTATTGATTTTCTCAAATCCCCTCCATCTTAAGTGAAACTAGGAAAGCCACATAAACTAGCTGTTAAGATCCTGGGTGCCAAGGTGGACCCCAGGGCCTTCTGTTTGTATCTGCTACTCACCACCCCGAGTCAATGATTTAACAGCTTTGGGCCTCAAGTTCCTCATTTGTAGATTCCCCAGGGGCAGCTGCGAGATGGGGTGAGAGGATGTTTACCCAGTGCCTGGCCTGAGCTCAGTGACCAGTCACGTGCCGAGGACTGGAGGGAGCAGGTTGTCACTGCAGACGTTCCTTTCCATGTCTGCCCTGGGATGTCCTCCCTTGTCAAAAGGCAATGGCATTGAGGTTACTCCCCTGCCAGGCTTTGTCAAGGATCAGCGCCGAAAAACAACAAAAAGAACGTGGGGCCCTTCCTTCCGGAGTGAATCCACATTCAAGTCTGTTGCCTATTGGAGGCATCTGGGAGCTCAAGAGGCACCTTGATGGCAGAACAGACTTAACCCGTGCTGGCGCCCAAGCCTTATGGTTCTGTCCCCTCAAAGTCAAAACCAAAGTTCCTCCCCTGACTTCTTCTGAACCCTGCTCGGTAAGCAAATGTGGGCCAACGTAGCGTTTCCCAGGCCTCTGTGGTTGCATTGGGTCATCGTGGTCACCGCCTTCACAGAGGCTGCTGCAGCCAGCCGGGAATCTCATCCACGGCTGCTATGGGGAAGGCGTCTGCTGTGAAGAACCCTGCATTCCTATGGGGTGACGCGTCATGAGCATGTAACGTGAAATCAACTGCAGGCTCATGTCAGGGGTGTGGTGACAATGAGGGTGGGAAGGCCTCCAGGTCAGGCTGCTCTTTCTCTGGGGGCACAGGACCAAGGTGCAAACAGGCAGGAAGGCAGTGCCCACAGCTGCCATGGAAGCTGCCTGGGGCTGTCCACACACACACAAACACACACACACACAGTCTACCCTCCCTCACTGTCTGGTCCCACTACGACCCCTGCAGGTTGGCTTCTGCCCCCTTGACTTGAAAATGCTCTTAGGTGGGTCACCTAGACTCTCCAAATGACCAAATCTGGTGTTTTCATTTCTGGCCTGACCTTGTTTGCTCTTCCTGCAACATCTGGCAGTGTGGATCTCTCCCACAGTCTTAAAACCATCTCCTCCCTCAGAATCTGGGTTACAAGTCGTTTCCGTATTGCCTCCTACCTCTTTGGTCGCTTTCCTTGGTCCTCTTTGCTGGCTTTTCTTCCTGCTCCTGCCCACTAAACCTCCAGATTCCCTTCCTATCTCCCGTCCCTCTCTGCCATTCTTGGGGCATATTCATTCCCACCCCTGGCTTCTGTCACCGCCTACTCCCAGCTCTCTATCTCCAGCCCAGACTGGTCTGCTGCGACCTTGAATCCAACTGCCCATTGGCCAGTTCCCCCATAGGCCCTTGGGCTCAACATGAGCATGGTGTGCCCCACTGCAAACTGTTCCTCCTCCAGAATTTCCTCCTGCAGTGAAGGACACTGCCATCTGCCTGGTCACTCAAGCCAGGAGTTGGTCTACTTCCCCAACATACCTGCATCTCCTCTAATCTACCTCCCAGATAGTTCTGGGCTCCCCCCCCTCTTCATTCCCATGGCCACTGTGTTCATTCAGTAGGTATCATTTCCCCCGGGTGGCTACGATAACCTCCACACCCATCTGCCAACATTCTCTGTGGCGTTACCACAGTGATCTTTCTAGAGCACAACCTAGTAATCTTCATCTGCTCCAATCTTCCACTGGGACTCCATCATCTCCAGAAGACTGCCTCAGCCCTTGGGTCCTCCTGCTCACCTGTCTAACCACCGTTCTCTCAAGGTAACCACGTCCACTCTTTGGTCCACCAACCTACAGGACCCCCACATGCCTTCATGCTTTTACCCACAGTTCCCTTTCTCCTAATTCCAATTTATCCTTTAGATGTGGTTCACGTGTCACCTCCCCCAGAGACATTTTCCCTGACCTGCACTCCCTGCCTTCCTTATCAGAGCTGGTTCCTCCCTCTGGGTTCCCTCCGCATTTAGGCAGAGCTCTTCCAGAGTGGGTCTCACACTGCATAGAGGTAGCTGATCTGCTGGCTCACCTTTCCAGGGGGACCTCTTTAAGGTCAAGGGCTGCGTTTTCATCTTTCTAACCCCAGCACCTGTCGCTGTGTCTGTTACTGGTAAAAGGAAAGAACGAAGAGAAGGGGTATTGAGAAAGCTAATGCAGACATAGCTACTTAATAAAAACTGTCACCTGCGGTCAAACCAAGAGCTGAACAGAGCAGCGTTCTGGCTTTAATGGCAGTGCTGGTAAATTTTCAGGAAGAGGGGATAGAATCATAACATGTAAAGCTGGAAGGGTCAATTAACACTCTTGTTTTGTAGAGCCCAGAGAGGCGGACTGGATTCCCGAGGGCACACAGCTCATCAAAACAGAACCAGAAGAACCTGGGTCTCCAGGCCTCACACCCACTGCTCCTACACCTTCACTGTGCTGCCCCCTTAAGGGAAAATTAGGAGTGTTCTCTAAAGTTTCTAAAGTCCCTTAGGAATACGTTACAGCCTCAGCATCAATGATTAGTTTTAACATTCTTCTTAAGCAATTTATATCACCAGTATTCTTAGAGACAACAAATATCTTGAATTTATACATATCATGAAAAGCCATGTAAAATTTGTGAATGGCTCTTTGTCTGAAAGTTTATCCTTGTACAGAACAGAAGTCAGCCTTGCCCTAACTTGTAACTTTGGGTGCAAGTTTGACACTATCCCTCTTGAAAATGTGGTGAAGCACAGAACAAAGCACTATTTGGTTTCAAAGAACCATATTCTTCCATCAGGTGCCTGCCGTTAATCCAAAGCCGTATCTTAGTTTGCATCTTGTCCTTCTGTTTGTATCAGTGATGTGTCGCTATTAGGGCTAGGCTCCATAACACCTCATCCTTTCTTCTAGAACATGGTTATTTATCGAGCACGTCCTGTGTCATGCATTTTTCTTTAACATCTTTTAGCTTCTATTATGAACAAACGTCTCCTTTTTTTTTTTCTTTCTAGAAATCTTTATCAGGCACTTTAAAGAATTTCCATAGTCCCTAATTTCAGATTGCTCTAAGTAATTGTGGAGATAAGACACACACATGTCTTGTCTGAAATTTGAAATGTTCAATATGCAATTCTCGGCGTTCCTGTAAGGACAGGCGTCGGAGGGTGGACCACGTGGGTTTGCTGGCTCCTTGTTTGTTATGGAGTGATGTACAGCCCCCTTGTGGCTCTTTAATGTAACATAAAAAGGGAAGCTGAGGGCAATGAGGTATGGCTTCTTCCGTTTGTTCGTTCAATGGACAAATGTTCATCGAGTGCCTACTAAGTTCCAGGCACGTTTTAGGTGCTGGAAATACTGCCTGTGAATGAAACAATCAACAACAAAATTATATGCATTAGTTACTTAAGATGAAGAAGATGAAGAAGACGGCCAGTCTAACAAATCTGGGGCCAAGATCAGGAGGTTGATTTTGAACAGGGTAAGTTGGAGATGCCTGTTAGTCTCCCAAATATCTTCTTTTAAAAATTAGTTGGTGTCTCTGGGAATACCTGTAAAACACTTGGGAGGAGAAAACACACACATGATGCCAATAATCTCTTCATCTGAGATTTCACCAAATTTAAATGAAAACTGACCACATGAGAACATTCAAGAAGAAAATTGTGAAGACAGTGAATTAGACCCTGGGTATGGGAGAGTGGTTATAGAGAAATGCAAGCCTTGGCCCCACCCTCACGGAACTGCTCCTCTCTTACTTCTCTGTTTAAACGTAATCTTCAGTTTCTGTCTCAGTCCTTTGTTTCCTGCATTCTTACCACGGCTTGTAACGGCTGAGTTTCCCTGTGTTCTTGTGTGCAGCTACCTGCTCCACCTCCAGGGCTGCACGTCAGTCCTGCTCACTGGGGTATCGTCAGCACCTGGCAGAGCTTCAATTTACATTCATTGAAGGATAAATTTTCAATTTCATAGGTCACATAAGATAGAAACACATGAGAAGCTAGTCATATAGACTAGTATATGGCACATTCTAAATGAGTAAAGAACACAGTTAATTGCTCTTTTAGGAGATCGCAGCAGGCTGAAGGCAGTCAGGGAAAATTTAAGGGAAGAAACTGGGCATGAGTTGAGCCTTACGGAATGGGCATACTATGAAGCAAGGAGAGAGGAAGTGGCAGGGTATGGGTTGTTTCCTATAAAGTTCCTGATTGGCCTCCACATGCTCCTAGCCACCAATGTCTCTTTACGCTCTGGTGTCCAGTGGTCTCCGCTGGGCTGTCCTGCCCCTCACTCCTACCCAATGATATGGGCTAACTTTGGCTGGTCATTAGGGTTTGTCATGCTATCCTATGTCACGCTTTTCTTTATCATTGTCATCGTGGCCCTGTTGTCTCTTTTTTAATGAACACCCAGCATATCAATGCCTATCATTATACCTGCCACGTAGTAAGTGCTCAATAAGTATTTGTTGAATGAACAGATGTGCCTAGGAGCCACTCTCCACGCTCCTGGGATGGCCCTCTCTCCAATATGTAGTCTCTGCCATCGGGCTGGGGGCATTTGAAAGATGAGCACTTGAGGGCTCACTCTGAATCCTTGCATGATTATTAACAAGCTTCTTTCTCATATTTTCATTTAACGAAGATTTATTGCATGCCTCCTTTATTACAGGACTTATGCTGGCTACAAGGAGCTTGGAGTTGAGCTACTGTGAGAGCCATATAAATAAAGCACGATAAATAACAAGTTAAGGGTTGATTTTTGAACAAAGGGGTCTGTGAACACTGTAGATGGAGGAACGGCTTGTTCTAGTGTGCTAGAAAAGGCTTCCTAGAGTACAGGAGAGACCGTTGGCATTGAATCTTGAAAGACAAGTAGTATCCTCTGGACAGACATGATCAGGGGTGGGGGAGTGAATAACAGGGCGTGGTGAACAGCATTCCAGACAAATGGAATAACAGGTGCAAAGAGGATGGTGGTGATGTTGGTGGTGGATCTGAGAAAGCGGGCCAGATTTGGGGCATTGGGGCAAAGTATAAGAGCAGAAGAGTGTGGGGCCGGCCCCATGGCTGAGTAGTCAAGTTCATGTGCTCCACTTTGGCAGCCCAGGGTTCTCCGGTTTGGATCCTGGGCACAGACATACACACCGCTCATCAAGCCAGGCTGTGGGGCAGCCCACATAGAAGAACTAGAATGACCTACAACTAGGATATACAACTATGACTGGGGCTTTGGGGAGAAAAATAAATAAAGAGCAGAGAGTGGCCAGAGAGAAGGTGGAGGACTGGATTTGGGGCAGGCCAGCCAAAGCACTCCATGGATGTCAATCTTTAAGAGATACTAAAACAAAAAATATAATGCCAATTAACTCAGCCACTTGTAGCTCCTTACATAACTTTTGAAACCTAAATTGGTTCCATTCCCTTGAGGTAAGACAGTGCCCTTGAATGTTACTTTAAAAATTCTCCTGGCTGGCAATTTCAATTATGTTATATTCAGTACATGTAATAAATTCCTTATTTTTAACATAAAGAGGTTTGTAATTCTTATTAATAGAAAATCAAGTTCCTTTCTGTCCCATGCTGAACAGATATTTAAAGAAAACTGACCTACTTATCTATTGCCAAATTATTAGCCTTCAGATAATGCACATAATCCTCCATCCAGCCCTGGATGGAGAATTCCAGGGCTCCTCTCCCAGGTAAAAACGGGCCTGTTCCACCGGCTAGGTGAGCTCAAAATGTTGGTTTTTGTGAGTGCCTAGAAGAGGCTATGTTCAATGAAGTCTTCTAAATTATGTGTTCAGCACCCCCAAATAATCTATTTGGTAGTCTTTTCTAATAAAAATTTCCTTGTAGGAGACTTAAAGATAAACTTGACTGTCTCTGCCTTAGAGCCATAATATTCTCTCTGGTATTCCAAAACATCAGGGCCTTCCACCTTCTCCCCTGAGGTTTTGTACACACCCTCTGCATTTGAACAGCCCTCGAAATTTGGTGTTCAAAAATACAGTCCCTATATAAAAATCTCAAATCACTATGTTGCACACTTGAAACTAATATAAGATTGTATGTCAACTACACCTCAGTAAAAAGTATATACATATTCTCTCTAGGATGACGGCACCCTAAAGTCATATGTAAACTAAATCATTACTATGAGTATCCACTGTTTTTGCATTGATTCTTCTCTCCTGGATGTTGGACCTAAAGCAAATAATTTAACCTTTCTGTGCTTCCATTTCCTCATGGGAAATTATAACATTACTTCCCGCTTTATAGCTTTCTGTTGAGGAATAAACGAAACGATACATGTAAAGCGCTTGACACAGTTCCGCACCACAGCCAGCACTCATACGCTCATCCTTCAGAGGGACTGTACTTTTCCCCTCTGTACTTGGCTCTCGCCAAGTCTTCAGCGTGACCCCGCCCCGGCTCAGGGTACAGGAACCGGAGAGGGGAGAGTGGGCAGTGTGAGGGGTCAGAGTGCAAAGGTCAGAAGGCAGTTGGTTCAGGCAGTGTGCAAAGAAGTCTGAAGAAAGACCTGTGGACTTTGCTTACCTTGGCGACCTCAGCCAGTGGGATAGCACCGCGGAAACCTGCCTGCAGCCGCTTTCTAGCTCCCTCCCTTCCTTTGGTTTAGCTCCGCCCCTTTCTCTCTAGAGGCGGAAGGCAGGTGCCGACACCGACGCCGCCGCGGTTGCCTAGCGATACGCTTTTCCCAGGATGCCTATGGTGTTGTGTTTTCCTTAGCCAATCAGAGAGACGAAGCGACCTGACCGCGGGCCAATAGGCTGCGAGGCCAGGGCCCGCGACGGTTAAACGGGGCTGGACACTGGGGCGGCCGGGCAGCGGGGCTTGGAGGGGTCTCAGAGTCCGAGGCTGCAGCTCTGGGGCTGCGGCGCGACCTGCAAGAGTCGTGCGGCGGGCCCGGCCATGCCGACGCGGGCAGAGGACTATGAGGTGCTGCACACCATCGGCACGGGCTCCTACGGCCGCTGCCAGAAGATCCGGAGGAAGAGCGACGGCAAGGTGAGCGCGGGCTCCTGCCCTGTCCCCGCCCCTGCTGCGCCCGCCGCCGCCGGCGGGGAGCGAGAGGGCTGGGGGTGTGGATCTCGAAAGCAGGGTGCCCAGAAGAGTCAGCCATCTTCCCCAGGCCTGCGTCTGTCCTGGGTCGCTCAAGGGATGGGAGACTGCGTCTTGTGATGCACTACATTTCTTCTGTCTTTTTTCCTTTCTCGTCCGTCTGTGACCTGCGAAGGACCTTCCATTGATGACAGCTGACTCCCGAGCTATTTTTAGAGAAGGGCAGCCCTCTCAGACATGAGAAAGGGGCAGGACCACCAGAACTGGAGCTCTATGTCTTGCAGTTAGAACTCATTTAAACTATCCATTATTCTGATTATTGATTCATATTTCCCAGTGTGTATGTAGACCTTGTACAGAAAGAAACAGCGGAGAGGAAACTGCCTCGCTACTGATGCAGGGATCTTTCCTAAGGTCTCTCACCCTGGAAAAGCTTGACAGGTTGGGATGGTCAGGGACTTTGCCTATCCTCCAGCTTTGACCAAAGTACCTTTTGCCAACCTCTCACAAAGCAACTGAGGGAGGGTAGGGCGTTGGGGGAGGCCTGAGGTCTCTCATCGCCCTCTCTCCCATGGCACCATTTACAGCTTAAAAATTAGAGGAAGATTATGGAAATAAACTCAGGGGTCCTTAAGATCATTAAACTAAATTAGGTGATAATGACTGTAGGATCTATTTAATAGACAAGGTAAGTTTTGTAAATTTTAAATTTTGGAACATTCATTCATACCTTGGAAATTCTTATTTCAGATATTAGTTTGGAAAGAACTTGACTATGGCTCCATGACAGAAGCTGAGAAACAAATGCTTGTTTCTGAAGTGAATTTGCTCCGTGAACTGAAACATCCAAACATCGTCCGTTACTATGATCGAATTATTGACCGAACCAACACAACACTGTACATTGTAATGGAATATTGCGAAGGAGGGGACCTGGCTAGTGTAATTACAAAGGGAACCAAGGAAAGGTAAATTTATCTTTTCAGTGTAAGCTGAAAATGGGCCTAGTTTCGTTTCTGTTAAGCATCCTGTTTTAGGATCAGGGACAAAGTACTTAGAAATGTGAAAGAGTGTTCTTGTATTTGTTTGATGGGGCCACAGTACTTTAGAAAATCCTTGGTGAATCAACACCTGTATTTCACATCAAAATAATTTATTTCCCTATTTGTGCACTTTGTTTCTTTTTTTTTTTTTGAGGAAGATTAGCCCTGAGCTGAGATCTACCAGTAATTCTCCTCTTTTTGCTAAGAAAGGCTGCCCTGTGCTAACATCCGTGCCCATCTTCCTCTACTTTATATGTGGGATGCCTGCCACAGCATGGCTTGCCAAGCAGTGCCCTGTCCGCGCCCAGGATTCGAACCAGCGAACCCTGAGCCACCGAAGCAGAACGTGTGAACTTAACTGCTGGGCCACTGGGCTGGCCCCCCTATTTGTGTACTTTGAAAACTAGATAATTCGCATCATCCCATCTTTGTAATGGTTTTATTCAGATGTTATATGCTTTATAACTGCTTTGATTTCAGACAATACTTAGATGAAGAGTTTGTTCTTCGAGTGATGACTCAGCTGACTCTGGCCCTAAAGGAATGTCACAGACGAAGTGACGGTGGTCATACTGTACTGCATCGGGACCTGAAACCAGCCAATGTTTTTCTGGATAGCAAGCAAAACGTTAAGCTTGGAGACTTTGGGCTAGCTAGAATATTAAACCATGATACAAGTTTTGCAAAGACATTTGTTGGCACCCCTTATTACATGTCTCCTGTAAGTATCTCAGAATTTACATTCTTTTTTTTTTTTTCCAAGATTTTATTTTTTCCTTTTTCTCCCCAAAGCCCCCCCGGTACATAGTTGTGTATTCTTCGTTGTGGGTTCTTCTAGTTGTGGCATGTGGGACGCTGCCTCAGCGTGGTCTGATGAGCAGTGCCATGTCCGCGCCCAGGATTCGAACTAACGAAACACTGGGCCGCCTGCAGCGGAGCGTGCGAACTTAACCACTCGGCCACGGGGCCAGCCCCAGAATTTACATTCTTTTTTAACATCTTAATGCAAGCATTCAAGTGCATAGAAATTGAGCTTTTTGTTAGTTTGTTTACTAATATCCAACAGCCAACAATTAATGATACTGTTTCCTTTGAAATTTATATTTTCCAAATGGACCGCCAGACCATTAAACTCCTCTATATCAGCAATTCAGGTAAGGTTTTATTGAGTGACGACCAGGTGCTAAGCTGTGGGATTACAAAGATGAGCTAGGTTTTGTCTCTGCTCTCAAGAGCAGCGTTTCTCAAATTGCCATAGGTCCTGGACACCAGCTTGGACTCATTTGGAGTGTTTGTTTAAAATGCAGAGTCCTGGGCCCCAAATCCAGTGAATTTGGATCTCTGGACAGGTCCTTGCACTCTGCCTCTGCCCCTCCCCTCACCTTTTTATTTTGGCCTCTATATTTTAACAGACTCTAGATGATTCTTGTGTGTGGAGATCCTGGGTTCAGGAGGCTCACTCACTTCAGATAACGTGTTTTTACAGTGTTAACTTTTTCTACTTGTTCTTTTTTTGTTGCCTTTTCCTTCAGTGGAACGGCAGAGACCATCCACTTCACTTACCTGTTTCTTCCATTGCTAGATATTTTGTTTCCAAAATTTCTACCATTCTAAGGAGGACTGCCAGGCATATCTTTGTAAGAATTATCTTTTCTTCCTTTTTGGTTATTTCCTTGGGGGATAGGTCTCAAAATGAAATTGCTGGGTGAAAGGCTATGAACTGTTTATGACTCTCTAGATATTGTCTGATGGCTTTTAAAAAGCCTGAATCAATAAGGGATAGCACCAGTGTGCTGTAGATGAAATCTGAGCAGATGAAGATGGAGAGGTATTTATTAACTTTTTTAGGAGTTCACAAATATTTCTAGGATTTTCTAAATCTTTTTTAGTTATGTTAACTGAACTGACTACAGTATAAAGCTTGTTAATTAATGATTTTATTTTTGACTAAGATTAGGCATGGCCAGAACAGTGTCATTTGCTCACCGGATCAAATTCCAAATAGAAAGCCTTTAACATAAAGGAAAATTATCTAGAAGCGGTTCTTGGAAAATTTGAAACCCGCACAATTCTTTTGTTCCATTTCCCACCTGCCCTTGCAATTAGATCAGTTCAGCCTTCCCTAAGGCATTGATTGTCAGGAAGTGGTTTTAGGCTCACCTGTTGTACTTTAAGACACTAAGAAGACTCCTCTGTGTTTTGGTACTTGCCCCTGTGCCCTCTTGAAAACAGGAGCTATGTAGACTGGTTTTACTATAAGTGTAGGAGGAGGGCAAACATTAAAACAGGAAATGAGAATGTTTCTTACTGTGGTGGTTTACACAGTGGACTAAGGAAAAAATGTATAATTGAATAATTCAGTTACCTTTTTATGTCTATATCCATTTAAATGTGGGCTAGATACATGTTTTGGTTATTCTGGAATTTTCTCTGGTTCTTTTAAAATGAAGTTTCTAGATTATGAATGCCTTGAGGGTAGAGGGTAGAGGTCTCTCATATTCACCTTTGAATTACCAGTGCCTCGCCTATAGTAACACTTAATATAATGTTTGTGAATGACGAATAAGTGAATGAATTATATATGACAAAGCATATTAGGATAAGATCATTGTCTTTTTTCCAATATGAATTTGAAGATAAAGTATAGAATACCATTTTTTGTTATTATGATGCAAGATCTGATGTAAGCTGAAGCAACCTCTTGTATTTGAAATTTTTGTTAGCAGTATAAAATATTTATTTTAAAATTTCTTCCTTTTTTTTCCTTGATTGAATATAACCAAAGTTTTTAAGGTTCCATTTTTATCTCGGGTAATTTTATAAGTTTTCAAACAAAATAGAGTTTTAAATCCTTCTACTTTCTTACCTTTTTTCCCTCTTAAGGAACAAATGAATCGCATGTCATACAATGAGAAATCGGATATCTGGTCACTAGGTTGTTTGCTGTATGAATTGTGTGCACTAATGTAAGTATGAAGACAGATTTCTAGTCTGAGGTTTGCACTCAGCTCTGTCACCTTTCACTGGGTTCAGCTTTTTGAACATCCATGCATATTCAAGTCTGAAAGAATTATAAACTAAGCTAAAATTAAGGTAGATGGACAGGTTGAAACAATTATTTACAAATTAATATTTTAAGCCATGAGGCTGGATCTTGACTTGTTCCAGCTCCGAAGGCGGTTCCCTGCTTCCCCGTCACACTCATGCTTGGCTCGAGGGGAGAGCACGCAGGCCAGGCGGGTGACGTACAGCCACTGTAAGGGGATGGAAGAGATGCGACAAAGATCTCGGGGAGAGGTCTGGGGACTTGGAGATCAGAAAGCGCTCCAATTCTTTCCCCTCTTTTCATTTTTACCCTTCTAAACTATTCTGTAGAGCAGTGGTTCTCAACCAGGGAGGGGGGAGCAGTTTTGCCCCCATGGGACATTTGACAATATCTGGAGACATTTTCAGTTGTCACAACTGGGGACTGCTTCTGACATCTTGTGGATAGAGGCCAGTGACGCTGCAAAACGCGCTCCGCTGCCCAGGACCGCCCCCACAACAAAGAAGCGTAGGACCCCAACGTCAGCAGTGCCAAGAC